GCTCCTGTGGAGAGAGCGGCTCCCGCCGAGACGGAAGAACCGGAGAGCCCCCAGGTCCAGCAGGCGCAGGCTCCGCACCTCCAGGCTCAGCACCCCCAGGCTCAGCAGCTCCTGACGTAGCACCCTCCGGCTCAGCACCCCCCGGCTCAGCACCCCCAGACTCAGCACCCCCCGGCCTCGCACCCCCAGGCTCAGCACCCCCAGGCTCAGCACCCCCAGCAGCAGCACCCCCAGGCTCAGCACCCGCAGCAGGACCAGACTCAGCAGCAACCTCGACTGGCTCGACCGTGTCTACCTGGGACACACCTGAAGGGGCAGGAACCTGAGGGGGGAGGGGGTCTACCGGGGGGGGAACTGGTACCAGGAAGTCCGGTGGGGGGGGAAGGGAAGGAGTACGGTAGGGGAAGAGGCGGTAGAAGGGGACTGACTCGTCGAACGTGACGTCCTGGGAGGACAGAACACGACGAGAGGAGGGGTAGTAGAACTGCCACCCTAGAGCGTCAGGGGGGAAGCCAAGGAAGACACAGGGAGCAGCACGGGGGGACAGCTTGTCCGCAGACAAGTCGCGGACAAACGCCCGAGATCCCCAGACACGGAACGCAGACGCATCGCCGACCTTCCCCGTCCACAGTAACACTGGGGACATCGCGGGCCGAGAGACCCTGGGGTGAAGGTTGAGCTGATGCGCCGCGTACCGAACCGCAAACGGCCACAGAAAATGGGGGGCAGCCGCATGCATCATGGACGTACGAGCGACATCCATGACCATGCCAATGCGGCGCTCAACAATCCCATTTTGCTGTGGAGAGTCCGGAAGCGTAAAGGTCTGGCGGATCCCCTGTGCACGACAGTAGTCTCGCAGAAGGCGAGAGGAGAACTCCCCACCTCGGTCAGAGTGCAGACGCAGAACAGGAAAGTCCGAGCCGAAGCTCCTCCTGAGCTGGAGACGAGCCTCGCGGATCCAGTCGATCAGCACCTCAGTGACAGCACCCTTGCTGCGCAAGGGGAAGACTGAGGTGTAACGCGAGTAGTCGTCAACCACCAACAGGAAGTAGCGCTCGTGACCCTGCCCACGGACGGGGGCCGGGCCCCACACGTCCATGTGAAGCGTCTGCAGAGGAGCCTCTGTCGGGGGAAACTGGGAGGAGTGAGGAGCAGCCCTGAGGCGCCCCTCGACACAGGGGACACAGGAAGGTCCTGGTCCCGAAGGAAGGGGAGGGAGAGACTGGGGAAGACCAGAGACAAGGACACGGGAAGCCATGCCCCGAAGACAGGGCAAGGAGGGGTGGCCTAGACGGTGGTGCCACAGAAGAGTCTCGTGAGACAGGAGGCGACACGAGCAGGGGGCAGACTCAGGACCAGACCTGGACGCAGCAGCAAACACCTGACCCGACGCTGCTACCTGACCGGACGCGGGGACAGGAGGAGACTCAGTGGTCAGGGTGTAGAGGCTCGACCCCGGCCGACGCGAGAACGTGGCCAGGTGCCGGCCTGTGCGTGCGTCCGTGCAGTGGGTCACCCGCTGACTCGCAGGAGTGAACTGGTGAACCCCCGCATCCTGTAGGTCTGCACCACTCACCAAGTTCGTCGAGAACGAGGGGAGGTACAGGCCAGACAGGGTGCCCGAGGGGGCAGCCGGACACGGGAGGACAGTGGAGAAGTGAGCGAGGACAGGACCCCCAGAGGGGTCAGCCAGGGAGACAGCAACCGGCCGACCAAGCGGCGTGAGTGTGGTGCGGTCCCGAAAGAAGGAGCGAGAAGCCCCAGAGTCAAGTGTAAAGGTGAGGGAGGCCGAAGCCAACGCGGTACCTGAGAGCGCAGCCTCACCCGCACCTGAGGAAGCAGACTCACTAGCACCTAGAGCAGCAGCCGCACCTGTACCTGGAGCAGGAGACTCACTAGCACCCAGAGCAGCAGCCTCACCAGTAGCTAGAGCAGCAGGTCCTATACCTGGGTCAGGCGAGACGCACAGGTGACCGGCACGGTCAGCACTAGTAGGCAATGCATACATGGCAGTGAGAATAGCATCATAGTCAAGAGCATATATATCTACCCTCTGCCTAAGCAACTCCACCCAGGCGGGAAGCTCAGCCTCGTTGCCAAACACGGTACGCCAGGCATCGCTCAGACGGGCGAAGCAGCGGGACGGTGTATGACTACGTGTCCCACAAGGCTGACCAGTCCGAGTACCAGTGCGAATCACGTAAGAGCAGCGAACAGCACTGAGAGACCCTCCACTCTGAGCGTACCACTCACGAAGCTGGCGAGGCGTGAGAGACACGCGAGAGGGTCGCGGGAGCTGCATCTGGCCGCCACCACGAGTAGAAGCAGCAGGAGTGGTAGTAGGAGTAGCGTCGCCACCCCTACAGCCCCAACCAGCGTACCACTCACGCAGCTGCTGGGGCGTGAGGGACTCAAGCCGGCATCGCTGGGGCTGCATTTGGCTCCGCAAGTAGAAGCAGGAGCAGGACTAGCAGCAGGGAGGTAGGCAGCCAGGCAAGCCAAAAGGCAGGCAGGCAGGCAAGCAGGCGACGCGCAGCGTGGTAGCAGGGCAAGAGCTCACCAGTGGTGGGAAGAGTAGGCTCGGCGACTCAGCGGCTCGGCAGCTCGGCGGCTCGGCGGCTCGGGCGACTCGGGCGGCTCGGCGGCAAGGCGGCTCGGCAGCAACTGCAGCTCAGCAGCTCGGTGACTCGGCGGCTCGGCGGCAGGGCGGCTCGGCAGCAACTGCAGCTCAGCAGCTCAGCGACCCGGCGGCTCGGCGGCAGGGCGGCTCGGCTGCTGGGCGGCTCGGGTGCAGGGCGGCTTGGCGGTGGGGCGGCTCGGCTGCTGCAGGTGAGCGGCTCGGCTGCTGCAGCGGGAGATGAAGGAGGAGGAGAAGCAGGGGAGGCCACACACCTGCCACCCCTCTGCTGGCCTCTCAGGTCGCCTCGACAGGCGACGGGAAAAGGGGGGGGGGTGGTGGGGGCCGGTAGGTGCAGCGGCGGGGCCAGCAGGTGCAGTTGCGGGGCCGGAAGAAGGGGACGGCAGGAGCCGTCAGGAGGGGACGGCGGGGCCGTCAGGAAGGGACGGCGGAGCCGTCACGAAGGGACGGCGGGGCCGTCAGGAGGTGACCGGGCCGCGACGGGGGCAGGCGGCGGGGCCGCGTAAGGGCCTGGGCGGGGCCGCGACAGAGCCGTCGGCGGGGCCGCGTGAAAGCCGGGGCGGGGCCGCGTAGAAGCCGGGGCGGGGCCGCGCGAGAGCAGGCGGCGGGGCCGCGAAGGAGCCGGGGCGGGGCCGCGTGAGAGCAGGCGGCGGGGCCGCGTAAGGGCCTGGGCGGGGCCGCGACAACGCCGTCGGCGGGGCTGCGTGAAAGCCGGGGCGGGGCCGCGTAGAAGCCGGGGCGGGGCCGCGCGAGAGCAGGCGGCGGGGCCGCGAAGGAGCCGGGGCGGGGCCGCGTGAGAGCAGGCGGCGGGGCCGCGTAAGGGCCTGGGCGGGGCCGCGACAAAGCCGTCGGCGGGGCCGCGTGAAAGCCGGCGACGGGGCCGCGTAAGGGCCGGCGGCGGGGTCCCGTCAGAGAGGGCGGCGGGGCCGCGTCAGTGAAGGCGGCGGGGCCGCAGGGGAAATGGCGACCCGAGGGGTCGCTAAAAAAAGATCGCGCCTCGGGGGGCGCTTCGGTGGGCCCAAAAAAACGGTCCGTAGAAGGACCCGCTCTATACCATGTGAGAATAAGCGAACAGGAATGGATGAACTAGAAGTGAAATGAGTACAAGTAGTAAACCCTAGAATTGTGTACCCCCTATAGGCTAACCCACTGTAGCCTACACAAGCATAACATATATAATGTTTGACAGCTTCATCGTCGCCTCCAGCTTCGCCGGCGCCGCTGTCATGTTTGTCGGTAGCCACATCATCGTCGGCGCCCACAGCCGACTCATCCCACGCGCAGGCTTCTGGTTGTCCCCACCGTGGTGCAGTCGCTGGAGCTTGGATGCGTGCATCGCGGGCCTTGGGTGTGTCCGCTTCAGCCAACCATTCGTCGAACGTGGCTGGTAAATATAGTTGGAGCACGGGCCGTTGGTGAGCACCTGCCGTAGCAAAAGCAGGCGGATTCGGAGGAGCGGGAGGTGCGGGAGGAGCGGGTGGAGCAGGGGGTGCAGGGGGAGCAGGAGGAGCAGGGGGTGCAGGGGGATCCGGTGGCACTGGAGGCGCTGGTGGCTCACGGGTATACCACCCGTCTTCGGTAAGTCGCCATGAGCGGCGTGGTTTCTTCTTGAAGAGGATGTGAGTCCCACTAAATTCCGCCATGGCTTCGCCTGCCAGGCGGGCTAGACAGGAAACTGAATGAAAAAATTAGAGACGAGGGTGAAGAAATGGGCAACGACGGGGACCCGTGCTGCGTGGCGGCTTGGGTTCCTCGTCGATGACAGGCAGGAAACCCCCGCCCACTCCTGTAGAGGCGCCTGCGTGGCAGCATCTACGCTGCGCTGGCAGGGAATCTTGCCGAACCTTCGAGATGGTTCTGCCCGAATGCACATGCCTCGCAGCGCATGCGGCTCTGATTGGGCCGCACGACAACATCCTCGTCACGGCTGTCACATTCGATGTTTCCAGACAACATTGTGCGGTGGGAAACCGAACCGCTGCGGTTTCTGCCTGAAAACCATGCACGATCCCACTTGGTGCATGGTCGGTTGAATTCGCCTTATTGAGAGCTTCAGAATGGTGTGTTCAAAATTGATTTTCATTTTTCCCTTTATACAAGCGCATGCGCTTATAAATCTGACTCAATTATAAGCGCACCCCCCCAAAAAACAATGTTTTATTATAAGCGCAGGTGCGCTTCTATCCGGGGTATTACGGTATATTGGCCTCTGCATTCTTTGACCAATGCCCACATGGGAACATGTGTGTGAACTGGAGAACCACCAAAAGGAAGAACCCCATGCAACTCATGAATGTACTTTGGTTCATAAGAAAAAAAAAATGTTCTAAGAACACAGGAAAACTTAATATAGCATGTTTCACAGCGGCAAAGCAGTGGCTGCTGTTGAGGCAGCAAGCAGGGCAGCAGCAGTGGCAGCAACGCCAAGAGCAGCGGCAAGCGACACAGTGGCCATCTCTGGTTGCCTCTGCAGGAAGTCCTGCACCGAAATGCCTGTAACCGGCTTGCGCCCCGCCCCCCGCGTGGCGATCTGCTCCGCACACTGCTTGCCCGACAGCACCGCCCCCTCCATTGATGCCAGGTACCTCTGTTGGAGGGATACAGGGAAGAAGGGGAGCAGGGGAGTGGGACAAGGGGAGCCAACAGGGTAGTTGGGAGGGACCTCAAGAAAAATCCTAAACACTATTCACTAATACCCACCCCCTCCCTCCCCACACCCACACACCCACACCCACACATGCCCACGCACCTGCATGGTGAAGCAGCCAGCGAGGTAGAAGTTCGAGATCGGAGTGGTCTGCCCGGGGCGGTACGCCTGGCGGCCAGTAACCGCCTTGTACACCGACCGGGGCGTCTTCACCACAATGCTCTTCCTCAGCTTCGCCTTGCTCCCATCCGCACGGATCTCCGTGGGGAACAGCCTCTCCAACTCCACCATCGTCGCCTGCACTATGTCCTCATCACTCCTCCCAATCCACTCCTTCGCCGGCGCAAACACCAGCTCAAGCATGCTCGCGTTCTCATCCGCATACCCCTTGCAGGTCACCGACATATCCGCGTAGACCGACAGCAGCTTGGATCGCGAGAAGAGCAGGTGATCGACGGTCGTGAGCTTCCGGTCGAACCAGAGGTGGACGTTGATGACTGGCACGCCCTCCAGCCCGTCAAGCTTTTGGAAGAACGGGTCGGCTTTCCAGGCGGGCGGGAGGAGCAGCTTGAGCGGGTCAACGGGCATGGCGGAGACGTAGAGGTCGGCGGTGACGGTCTCCCCGCCCTGGAACTTGAGGCACTTGACTGAATTGTCCTCGTTCAGCTCAATGCTCTGCAGCCGCTTCTCCAGCAGCACCTGGGATAGCAGGGAATTGGGAAGTGGCATGGTGAATTTTGAGGGATAGCAGGGTGGCAAGGCTTTGGAATAAGAAGGGGGGTGGTGCAGGGAAAGTGGGAGGGGGTGCAGCGAAGGGGTGGGTTGGGAAAGGGGGGGAGGGAGGGGGCGAAAGGGAAGGATTCAGAATGAAAGCCTACCTCTTCCGTCACTTCCTCCACACCTACCTCTCACGCCCTCCTCTGCTGCAGCCATGACAACCTTCCTCAACTGCTTCCCCAAGCCCTTGACAATGCGATACTGAACCACCCTCAACTGTCTCTACGTGTCTGTAACACCTGTTGCTGTCCAGAGTACCAAGAACACACCGAACGCCTGAAACACTACGGACAACTGTAACGGTCTTGGTTGGGTTCTAAGAATCAAACCCAGCTTCTGCCCTACCCCCCTTCTGCCCTATCTTCTATGCTGCCTGTGCCTCTAATTTGTCCTCTGCACATGCCCACTGCACCAGCAAACTCCTCCCTTTCCGGCCGTGCATTGTCAATGTGCCTTCCTTCCATCTATGCACTTTAGACGACCACACAGTCAACACGCCCTCCCTCGCGCAACCCGTCCCTTCGTTTTCTGCTGCATCAACTGCTGCGCCACACCCCACCCCTCTTATCTCGCATCCCCTCTCATGGTCGTTGGCACTCCATGCCGTGGCTGGCACAGGCGGGTGAGAGCACTCAGAAACACTCCACAGTAGCCCCTCAACCCTCATGCTCAGCACTCTCGCTCACCTGTCCGCCGCCCTTGGTAATGTGCTCCACAATGGGCTCGCACAGGCGCGTGGTGGGCGGGCCGTCCAGGAACGCCATCTTCGACCCGTGCCTTTCCTGGAGTAGGGGAAGAAGGAAACAGGATGGGAGGGGAGGGATGGGATGGGGGACGAGGGCGAGGATTTTGGTGATGAGGTCTCTATGCTTACCCAACGAAGCGAGAAAGAAACTTAAATACTTATGTTACATGTACCGAATGTTACAATTATAACCGTATCAGCGGCAAACTCACCTGTAGGAAGCGGTTTATGGCGGGGAGGATTGACGGTGGAGGAGATTTCCCACTGACAGCGACCCCGCCCCTATAAGTTATAACCATGTATAGTTACCACCCTAAATACAATAGAACTCATGATTCACCTGCAGGAAGCGGTTCATGGCGGTGAGGATGACGGTGGAGGAGATTTCCCAGGGGTCGATGAAGTTGAGCGCCTTGGCCATGGCGATGAACACCTCCTCGTTCACGCGCTCCGGCACGCCCTGCTTGCGCATCCAGTCCGAGATCGACAGCCCGTCCTGCTTCTCCACGTACGATTGCCCCTGTAACCCGGTAACCGGAAAGGATGGAAAAAGTGTGAGTGCGTGCGAACACCTTATAAGCCATCGAGAGAACTCCCAACCCTCGTCTCTCACCTCTCATCGCTGATCTCTTATCTCTCGTTAGCTCTTATCGATCAGAGTTCGTCGCTCATCTCCCTCAGCTCTCATCTCTCAAATCTTAGAGCGAACCATTAGGTACTGGCAGCGGGACGGCCTTAGCGTGACGGTTACGCTCCCGACAGCTCTTGGAGTGCTGTGCTGACCTGGATCATGGCGGGCAGAAGCCCGATCCCGAACAGAATCTTCTCCGGCCACGTCAGCATATCGTTGTTGCGGAGGATGGCGACGACGCCGTTGGCGGGCGCGGGGATGTCGGGGAAGTCGAAGCGGGAGAACTCTCCGGGCTTGTCGGGCATGGCGAAGATCATCGAGTGCTCCTTCCACTGCAGCCGGTCCTCAATGTCCAGCTCCTTGAACAGCTGAATAACGGGACGCGGGTTGGGGAGGTGGGGGTGGGGACAAATTTGACGGAGTGCGCAGTAAGTCCTGAAAATCCCGACCTCGTATCGCATTGCGAAGATCATCGAGTGCTTCTTCCACTGCATCCGGTCTTCAATGTCCAACTCCTTGAACAGCTGCGGTAACGGGAAGGAGGAGGTGGGGGAGGAGGTGGAGGAGGGGGGAGGGGAGGGGGACGAATTGTGCACAGTGAGACGAAAACTCGTATCGCATGGCGAAGATCATCGAGTGCTCCTTCCGCTACAGCCGATCTTCAATGTCCAACTCCTTGAATAGCTACAGAAGAGGAAGGGAGGAGTGGGGGAAAGCGAATTTCGCAGTGGCACTTTCTGCTTCTCTAGTTGACCAATGGAGATCTGACTCTTGTAAATGTGTTAGCTGTTCAAGGACTCTGTTCCCCCGGCTTCCACCTGAATAAAGACTCAACTTTAGCATCCTGTACAGACGATATTGTTCAGATTCAGCCATCACAGCCATCACCAAATCATCACAGCCTCCTTGCTTACCTCCATCATGTTCGGGTAGGCTCCGAAGAAAATGTGGAGACCAGTCTCGTACCAGTCGCCCTCCTCATCCTGCCAACCGAGTCAGATATTGAAAGCAGCATTTAGAAACGTCTCAACCCACAACGGAGGCTTGAATGCATGAAATTAGCAGCATTGGCGACCGTATTGACAAAACGAGGACTCATAATCAAGAAAAGAAATCACAAGAACGATAGCGAGTCACAAATTGAACGCACCTGCCACGCGGCGACCTTCCCGCCAAGTACATCGCGCGCCTCGTAGACAGTGGGGATGTGGCCCGCATCCACCAGATACTTCGCCGCGCTCAGCCCGGCCAATCCGGCGCCAATGATAGCGACCTTCAACGGCTTCTCGGGCCGCGGAAGGTTCTTAAACGAGGCTGAGAGTTGCTGAGCCTCCCTCTGCGGCTCGGAATCGAAGTTCGGCTTCGGGTAGTCCTTGCACCGGATGTTTCCAGGCTTGTTCGTCCTGGACTGGTGCTGCACGCGGTTTGCTGACGTGGCATTGGCGCGGGTGGATTTCGTGGCACCGAATGTGGTGGACGACGCGAATGCGAGCTGCTGAGCTGTCGCTGGCGCAGCCGTGCGCTGCGAGAGAGAGGAAAGAGAATCAGCTCCTGCTGTCAGCGCAGCGTTCGCGGCCTTGTTTGCGAGCGCCATAGTTTCTTTTAGAGCACACGAGGTCTGGGATAAGTGAAACTCTAGACCAAGTGCTGGTCGGAAAATCTTAGGGCCTCCCTGCAAACGAGGGTCCTGAACTGACAAGCAGTTTCGCTGTATGGTGACAGAGCAAATGACCTCACCTCAAGTACAGAGTCAGAGGGAGCAGCAGGGAGGTCACCCACCAACCAGTGGCTGGGGGCCTCAATGTCACGGAAATGGCAGCAGTCATCCAATGAAGATGCAGATTGCGGATCATGGATTGCATCCATCCCCTCGAGCCCCGGTTCCTTCCTGCCTTGGTGTCGCTCAGGGAGTGGATCATGTGGTGTGCTGTCTACGAAACTGTAACAAATGCAGAGTTTTTGCTTCGCAACTCATTTGCCATGCGATAGCTCATGTTTGCGCTTAGTGCGACATTTAGCGACACGGGTTACACCACCTCGACTTTGACTTGAGTTCCTCATTTCGCCACATAAGCAGCCTCCAACCAATCCGTGCGCGCAATGTCAGTTCCCAACGAGTTCTGTTTCCGTGATGCGAGTGGCGGGGAGCCATGAAAGGTCTTCCCTTGTGGCACGTCATCGTTTCAAAGGAAGTGGATGATCCCAAGCCCAGACCTTTCGACGTGGCACACGCAAGTTCTCCAGAGACGCTATCCACATCACACAATTGCGGCACGATTGTTACCACGAGTTCCATCCAATACAGCACGTTATTCATAAGAACGAATATAATAGATTGGTACACTCAGCGTTTCAGGTTTTGCAATGTTAGCATGTATGGAAGCATCTGTACGACAGTTCTTGTATCGAACCTCCCGAATGAGCAAAGTCGGGTATGGAGTGTGGGGAGTGAGGGAAAGTTTCGCCTTGCCATCGTAGGTGCGAACAGCTGCCCAGACGGCTGGCCGTCGTACCGGGGAGCACAAGTCACAACACGACAGCACAGCACACAGGGTGCTCTCCAGCCTTCCGCTAAGTGTGCGAACTAGAATTAGTCAATCTCCCAGAGATGTAGGCCACCGACATACCTCGATTCTAGGAAGCCCGCCCGCACTTAGAATATGGGCAGAAGGGATGGAGTGGAGAGAAGAGCGGACCCAGCAGCAGCAGATGACCCTGCCTCGAATCCCATCATCGTTTTACCTCCCCATCCTGCGGTTCCACAATCCCTCCCAGACAACGGCAGCTTGCGTGCAGTGCGGGGAATTTACAGCCTGTTCGAGGATTACGTACACGTAGCTCCCGTTTAGGCGTTTTCGAGTGTCGCGTTGAGGGCGTCGAATGCGCAACGTGGGTGCTTAGATTCGTGTCGTGCTACCTCTGACAGCGCAGCAGCCATGGAATCTCTCCGTCGACTTGCGACGTTCCTCTTCGTATTCGCTGTCGTCGGCTCGTCGGTCGCTGTCGCACGGGCGTCGTTCATCGTGCAGACGCACAGCATTCAGATCACGGAGCCAAAGAGCATTCGCGGGACGTACGACAGCGCAATCGCCAACTTCGGAGTGCCTCAATACGGCGGCACTCTAACGGGCGTGATTGTATACCTACAGAACAACAAGGCGGGATGCACGAAATTATCCAAGTCGGAGGCCTTTAAGAAGGGCGTGGGTCAACGACCCACCATTCTCATGGTCGACCGAGGAGGTAGGTCGCGTCCTACGTCGTGCTTAGAGACGTCGTTAAACCGTAAGCGTGAAGTTGTAGCCGTCCGATTCTTAACCCATTGCTCCTATGGTTGACCGAAGATTTGGGCCCCTCTTTGTGTCCCCAGTTATCATGGTCTTAATTCAAAACATACAACTTTGTTATCCGCCGAAATTCGTTCCTACTCACCCACGATTTCGATGGTCGGTTGACAATGTAGGGCACTCATAAATAAATTTCTTTTTTCGGTTAGTAGGTCACGCATAGCTTCTAGTTCTCTTAGGGGTTCTTACAGAATCCCGTATCACGCAGTTCACTTTCAATTACAGTCCTTCACAATCCTTTAAAGACCATCGTATGGAGCGAGCAGGTACTCACATGTCACTCTCACGACGTACGTATGCCACTGGTAGTTTCGCCTCTCTGAAATGGTCACTGCTCGCGTTGCTGTGCGCCGGTAGACGATGTTAGGCTCGTTCCTGAGGAACTTATCATGCCTGAGGAGATTCGTTTCCGAGTTCACTCAAAATCCTCATAGTGTTTACTCGCTTCTATGCGGGTTATCTTTCTCCAGCTGTGCTACGCGAACTCGCGGGTGGCTCTTGAGGCGCCTCAAAAGCGGGTGCGTCAGGCGCGCGGGCGGAAGACGCGGACACGGAGTTGCTCGGGACTACCATGGAGACGCCTTTTGAGACGGAGGGCAACGACAGCGCGCCTTAAAACGCGTTCTCGGAGGACACGTTCTCCGTCAGAGGAAGGAGTCGCTCGGGACCCCTTCCTTTGGCGGAGGACGTGGAGACGCCTTCCTCTCAATCCTTCGTTACTACTCCCGCTCCCCCCGTTTCCTTTCCCCCCGCTCCCCCTCACAGACTGCTACTTCAGTCAGAAGGTGTGCTACGCGCAGCTGGGCGGGGCGGCAGCAATGCTCGTAGCGGCCACGGATACAGAATCCCTGGTCACCATGGAGGTCCCTGTGGACGACCAGGACACCCACCGCTACGCTCTGCTCCCCCTCTACTCCCGTCTCCCCCTCTACTCCCGTCTCCCCCTCTACTCCCGTCTCCCCTGCCCGCATTCCCCCTTCCCCTCTCCAGACTGCTACTTCAGTCAGAAGGTGTGGTACGCGCAGCTGGGCGGAGCATCAGCCGTCCTGGTAGCAGACACAGACACAGAGTCGCTGGTCACAATGGAGGCCCCTGTGGACGACCAGGACACCGACAGCTATGTCAACAACATCACCATCCCCTCCCTGCGCCCTCTGCTCCTCCACTCACTACTCCCGTTCCTCCTGCCAACTCACCCGAATTCCCCCGCCTCCCCACTCCCCTGCTCCCTCATTCCCTTCTGCCCCCGCCCCCTCCTCCTGCCCCCACCCCCTCCTGCCCCCGCCCCCTCCCCTTTCCCCCCCCCCCAGACTGCTACTTCAGTCAGAAGGTGTGGTACGCGCAGCTGGGCGGAGCATCAGCCGTCCTGGTGGCAGACACGGACACAGAATCCCTCGTCACCATGGAGGCCCCTGTGGACGACCAGGACACCGACCGCTACGTCAACAACATCACCATCCCCTCCGCGCTCATCGAGAAAGCCACCGGAGACAAGATCCGCTCAGCTCTTTCCTCCGGGAACATGGTCCTGGTGGACCTGGACTGGCGGGAGACGCTGCCTCACCCGGACGAGCGTGTGGAGTACGAGCTCTGGGGCACGAGTAACGACATCTGCGGGCCGAAATGCAACGACCTGACCAACTTTCTGGATAAGTTCAAGGGCCTGGCGATTACCCTCGAGCAGGGGGGATACACGCTCTTTACGCCGCACTACATCACGTGGTACTGCCCGCCAGACGAGGTGGACTCGATAGCCTGCAAGAACCAGTGCATTCACAAGGGGCGGTACTGTGCTCCGGACCCGGAGAGTGACTTCGAGGAGGGGTATGATGGGAAGGATGTGCTGGTGGAGAATCTGCGGCAGCTGTGCGTGTGGAAGTGGGCGAATGACACGGGGAAGCCGTGGGTGTGGTGGGACTATGTCACGGACTTCAGGAAGCGGTGCAGCATGGCGGATAAGATGTTCAATGCGGTGTGCGCCGAGACCGTTCTCACTTCGCTGGGTGAGTGGGACGGACGCTGACCCTGTCTTGTGAGATGCGATGCAACACCATCTCCATCCCACTCCACCCCTTCACACCCGCCCTTCGCCCCGCTCCCTCCCCTTGCCCCTCGTCTCACTCCCCTCCCCCTCCACCTACCCTCCCCTCTCCCCCATCCCCATCTCCCGCCCCTCTCCTATCCCCCCATGCCCCGCCAGGCATTGACGTGCGCACGGTGCGCACCTGTGTTGGCGATCCCACGCAGGACGTGGATAACCCGCTGCTGCAGCTCCAGGAGGATGCGCAGGTGGGCGCATTGGGGGGGCCGTGGGGAAACGCATTGGGGGGGCGGTGGGGGAACGCATTGGGGGGGCGGTGGGGGAACGCATTGGGGGGGCGTTGGGGAAACGCATTGGGGGGGCGGTGGGGGAACGCATTGGGGGGGTGTGGGTGCGGGGAGGGTAGTGAATGAATGGTAGAGTGGGGGGAGTCGGGCTCACCACGCAGGACGTGGATAACCCGCTGCTGCAGCAGCAGGAGGACGCGCAGGTGGGTGGCGCTTGCTGGGCTGGGCCCTTGTGTGTGGGGGGTTGAGGAAGGGAAAGGGGGAGGAGGGGGAGGGAAAAGGAGAGAGGGGGGAAAGGGGGAAGAGGGCATGTCATATCATAACCCGTTTCTTACTATGCATGTCTTGCCATCATCTCATTTCATGCCGTCGCATTCCTCGTGTCGGGTCACGATATTCGTCTGCTCAATTCATCTCTGCACCGAACACTGTCATTCCCATAATACCCTTCTCTCCCGCCCTCACCCCCCCTTTTCCTGCCCTTTCGCTCCCCCCACCTCCCCATCCCTCCCCCCAATCATGCGCAGGTGGGCAAGAATGGGCGCAGTGACGTCACCATCCAGCCGACGCTGGTGATCAACAACGAGCAGTACCGAGGTGGGCGCATGTGGAGGCAGGGGGGAGGTGGGGGGCAGGGGGAGGTGGGGGGCAGGGGGGGGGGAGGGGGGGAGGTGGCGGGAAAGGGGGAGGTGAGATGGTGCGAGGAGCGTCTCAGAAACTCATAAGCTCATAGTCTTATATCTGCATATCTCTGTAGCCTTGTCCAATTCCTGAGGCGCGCCTCAAAAGAGGCACCTCAAACCTCATAATCTCATAGACTCGTATCCTCATTTTTCCGTAGACTTGTCCAATTCCTCCCCCCCTCCTCCACACCTCTTCCCCCCCACCTCCCAACAGGCAAGCTGGACCCAACGAGGGTGCTGAGAGCTGTGTGCTCGGGGTTTGGAGAGGCCACTGAGCCGCCTGTGTGCCTATGGCTTGTGCACCCTCTCTCCCTCTTCCTTCCCCATCCCCGTCCCTTTCCTCATCCCTCTCCCCCACACTCCCCGTCCCCCCCTCCTCCCTTCCTCCAACAGGCAAACTGGATCCCATGGGCGTGCTGAGAGCTGTGTGCTCGGGGTTTGAGGAGGCCACTGAGCCGCCCGTGTGCCTGGGCGCAGGTGAGTGACGGGGGTGTGATATAGGGGAGTGGGGGCTGGGCTGGGCGCAGGTGAGGAGGAGAGCGATTTTTCAGGCGTCTCACTCAGCTGTGTGCTGGGGCTTTGAGGAGGCCACTGAGCCGCCTGTGTGCCTGGGCACAGGTGAGTGAGGGGGGAGAGTATGATAGGGAGGAGGGAGAGTATGAAAGGGGAGAGGGGGATGGGCTGGGCGCATGTGAGGGGGGAGTTGGCTGTCTGAGGCGTCTCAGGAGTGTGCTCGGGGTTTGCGGAGGCCACTGAGCCGCCAGTGTGCCTGGGCGCAGGTGAGGGGGGTGGGATGGGGGGAGAGTGTGGTGAGCAGGTGAGCGTGAAGAGGACATTTTTATTATGCGCTCAAGTGTACCGGGCTTTCAGGAGGCCATTAAGCCGCCTGTGTGCCTGGGCGCAGGTGAGGGGGGGGGGGGGGGGGGGAGAGTGTGACAGGGGAGAGCAGGATAGGCTGGGCGGAGGTGAGGGGGGCGGGATGCGTGCAGGTGAGGGGGGTGAGACGGAAACTGCAGGCTTGGGCTCTGCTTGATTGGAATGGGCGAAAGAAAGGGGTGCCCAGGGGACTTGGTGCTGCAGCTGGGCTGGGATGGGTGCTGTGCGGTGGTGGTGCTGCTGCGCTGGGTGTTGCTCCTTTCCTTCTTATGCCTCCGCTTTACTCCCACATACTCTTAGTCATCTGCTTTGTATTCGAGACACCTCAAAACAGTCTGTCCTCTCTCTTCCCTTCACTGTCACGTGCTGCCCACCTTCCACTCCCTCTCTTCTCCTACTTGTATTCTGCTGCTTGCCTTTGATTCTGCTGCCTGTATTCTGCCTGCCTGTATTCTGCCTGCCTGTATTCTGCTGCCTGCCTGTATTCTGCTGCCTGCCTGTATTCTGCTGCCTGCCTGTGTGCACATTTGTCAGACGTGCAGACGAACGAGTGTGCCACCAACAACGGGGGCTGCTGGTCGGGCTACAATGTCACAGCGTGCAAGGTCAGTGCGCCTCTTCGCATGGAGATTGAAGAGTAGGGTTTATGCTCGTCCCACCCTCTACGTTCCCACCCACTCTCCTTGCCTCCCTTGCTCTTGCTTCCCTCGCCCTTGCCCACCGTGGTTCCTTCCACCATCCCCGCCTTGTTTTCGCCCACTCCTTTCCCCATCGCCCTGTTCTCGCCCACTCCTTTCCCCATCGCACTGTCCTTTGGCCCTTCCCCCCCCTCCCGCCCCTTTCTCCTCCGCTCCTTTTTCAAGTCCACCTTACCTGAATCAAATACCTCCCTGCCCGTTTCTCACCCACTGATGTTGCCTCCTTTGCTCTTGCTTCCCTCATTCCTTCCCCCCCTGCGTCCCTCACCTCTGGCCGCATGGAAAGGTAGTTTTGACCCAGATCCAGCGATTTAACTCGTTCTAATCTCGTCTAGGCTGAGCTTAGGCTAGTAGGGATTGAGTAGGTAAGAACAAATGTCATTCAAACCTGAGAGTACGCGTGTTTCGGCCGATGGCCTTCGTCTGCGCTCTATGTTTTTTGAGAATTCTCAAAAAACATACGCTGCATCGTTTCTCCCCCATTGTTGTTGCCTCCTTTGCTCTTGGTTCCCTCATTCCTGCTCCCCCTGCGTCCCTCACCTCTGTCCCCTCCCCTCACCCCTACAGGACACGTTCAGAGGCAGGGTGTGCCAGTGCCCCAGCGACCCCGTCTCGGGGGTCAACTATGTGGGGGACGGCTACAAAAAATGCTCCCGTGAGTGTTACCAGCTATGCTACAGTAGAGGGTTACCAACTGTAGCAGATACGCACGTCAATTGTTACCGGCCCACAGTGCAAACTGCTCATAACATGCAATTTGTGAAATTAATGACGTCAATATTGACATGCAATCTGTGAAATTAATGACGTCAATAATGACATGCAATTTGTGAAATTAATGACGTCAATAATGACATGCAATTTGTGAAATTAATGACGTCAATAATGACATGCAATTTGTGAAATTAATGACGTCAATAATGACATGCAATTTGTGAAATTAATGACGTCAATAATGACATGCAATTTCTGCAGGAAGTACCCTGCCACGTGGCCATATGTTTTTTTTTGCATGATCCTAGTCAGGAGAGCTGAGAAACTGCTGAGGACTGACACACCATGACGTGTACATTCTCTCCAATCCCCATTTGCCCCCTTTCCTGCTGAACCCATCCTCCCCCTCGTGCTTTTTTCCTGACTCTCTTGCAGCCCAAGGCGTGGGGCGGTGCCGGGTGAATCACGGGGGTTGCTGGAATGCGGAGCACAGCGGCCAGACCTTCTCTGCGTGCGATGTGAGTGCCCGCAATGGGGTGGCGTGCTGTGCATGCGGGTGGGGTGAGCGAGTGGGGTTGGGGTGTGCGAGTAGGGTGGTGTACGGGTGTGTGAATTGATCCACATGTTTGCAATGCAGCGTCACATATCAACATCTCTCCATTCTTTCCCCTCTTTTCCTTCCCTCCTTCCCACCTTGCCTCCTTCCCTCCCTCCACTCTCTGCTCTTCCCCTCCCGCCCCTCCCCTCTCCCCTCTCCCCTCTTCCCCTCCCCAGGACACGTCTGTGTTCGGCACGGGGTGCAGCTGCCCGTCGGGCTTCACGGGGGACGGGTACACGTGCACGGACGTGGACGAGTGTGCTGCTGACTCCACCGTCTGCAAGTGCCCTGACTGCCACTGCTCCAACACCTTTGGCTCTTTCGACTGCTCCTGCCCGGGCGGGCTGCTTTACATGCGCGACTCAGACACGTGCATCAGTGAGTGATAGTTGCCAGTGTGCAATGGGTTCAGTGCCTGTGCGTGTGTCCAAAGGTTGCCTATGCCCCGTCTCCGACTGCCACTGCTCCAACACCTTCTGCTCCTTTGACTGCTCCTGCCCTGGTGGACTGGTCTACATGCGCGACTCAGACACGTGCATCAGTGAGCGATGAGTATTGGATGAGTGTCTTTTGTGTGCGGCGTGTGTGCATTTAAGTCCACCATGTCCCATCCCCGGACCCCGACTGCCACTGCTCCAACACCATGTCTCCCCCTCTGCCCCCTCTCCCCTCCCCTCCCAGACGGCGGCTTCACATCGCACATGTTTGGCAAGATCTTGGCCATCGTGGTGGCTGCGCTCATCCTCGCTGCTCTCATCAGCTTCGGCATCTACAAGTACCGGCTGAGGGTGAGTCAACGCGAGTCAACGTGAGTCAGCGTGAGTCGGTGTGAGTCAAACAGTGTATCAACTTGTTGCAAGGTGCGGACCATTGTAGTTGCTGCTCTCATCAGCTTCGGCATCTACAAGTAACGGCTGAGGGTGAATCAACGCCAGTCAATGCGAGTCAACACGAGTCAAAAGAGAGTCAATTATTGTATTGGTGTAGGTGCTGGCAATCGTATTTGCTGCTCTCATCAGCTTCGGCATCTACAAGTACTGCCTGAGGGTGAGTCAACATGAGTCAATTTGAGTCAAAGAGCGTCTGACCGACCGTGTGCTATGTGGTGCAAGGTGCTGGCTCTCATGGTGGCTGCGCTCTTCCTTGCTGCATACGTCGCTGTCCCCTAAACCCTACATGGATTCGGAGATCCGCACCATCATGATCATGGCGCAGTACGTGCCGCTGGACAGGAGGAGCAGTGAAACGTAGCAGAGAGCGAACAAGCCTTGCTCTACTTCCATTCATTCCCCACTTCTCTGCATCCATCCACCCCCTGCTGCAGGCCTACATGGACTCGAAGATCCGCACCATCATGGCGCAGTACATGCCGCTGGACAGCCAGCAGCAGACAAGCCTTGCATCCGTGTGCTCATCACCCTCTCTCTGTGTGCATGCATGTGGCTGCCCTGCAGGCCTACATGGATTCCGAGATCCGCACCATCATGGCGCAGTACATGCCGCTGGACAGCCAGCAGCAGGACGGGGCCACCCGTGAGAGCCTCGTGCAGAGCGCATGAGCTGAAGGGGGGGGGCTTTAAGGAGAGCCTCGTGCAGACCGCCTGAGCTGAAAGGGGGGGCTTTAAGAAGAGCCTTGTGTAGACCGAATGAGCTGAAGTGGGGGCTTTGTCCATGTGTGGCTGTTGAGGCACCTCAGAAGCAGGGGCAAGGGCATGGGCAAGGGCATGGGCATGAGCATGAGCATGGGCATGGGCAAGGGCATGGGCATGAGCATGGGCATGGGCATGGGCATGAGCATGAGCATGGGCATGGGCAAGGGCATGGGCATGGGCATGAGCATGGGCATGGGCATGGGCATGAGAATGAGCAAGAAGAGGAGCCATACTCACATACTTTCCACCTAAACTGAAGGCCTTCTACTTACAATAGGGGCGGCTTGTAACTGCCATAGTAATGTCCCGATCCCTAACTACACGTTGGGGCTTAGGCTGAATTTCCAGCTTTTTTCCCAGATGGACTCTGATAATCTGATTCACCTGAGAGTTTGTTGGGAGGGGACCTACGCTGAGATTGACAATGCGTGATTTGCGCTGTCTGCCGGGATTACGGTAGCTGACTGTTAGTTGGGAGGGGCAGTTTTTGCTTCGTTGGCATGGCACTAAATGTGTAGATTATCAATTGCTGATGCCGTAGGCCATTTCAAAGCTAACTTTGAAGTTTCAGAGTTTTCCGGGATTGTACTCTGATCATTCAGAGTACAAACACGTACCGACTCTGATACAATGTACCTTGGTGCCGACATCCAGGATTAGCGGTAGTACCGTAATCCCCCGGATAAAAGACCCTAGGGTCTTCTATTGATCTTAAAAAAAAAAAACGAGGGGGGTCTATATAAATGGTACAAAAATTATAAGACCCGGGTCTCAAGATATTGTATGTGTTAAGACAGATGTAATGAATTTCATTCATGTAGGAAGTGATTGCTCCGTTTAAAAAATGCTCCATACCCACGCTGTGAAAAGTACTAGTAAGAGTTAGGCTTAGGAGCCATGACTTAGGAGCCTTGGTTGAGTTCGAGTAGTTGAGTTAGGAGAGTCGAGAAAGTTGAAAAGAGAAGAGAGTGATTTCACTATAGAGCGAGCAGTACATATAGGCAAGAAGAAAGGTGCACCACCAAACAGAATATTGTATAACTACAGTAGTCTACACTACAGGCAGTTACAAAACAATATATAGATTTATATATTATTCTGACACACGCGAATCGCTTTCAGCAGGAGGCATGCATTATCAGACTAGAATCTGAATGTGGCATTCTGATTGGCCACATTCTTTGGGGCGTAGCGCTCGAGGGGGGGTCGATTGAAATGTACCACGTCCACTGCACCGTCTCAGGCCGCCTCGGTATTGCTACACCTTTTTTTTCCCGAAGAATGCAAAAAAAATACCTAGAAAGGGGGTCTTGACTGATTTCACCACAAAAGGGGGGTCTAACTCAAACAGCCCATAATAAAAGACCCCCCCCCCCCCCCCCCCTCCCGTATTAAAGACCCGGGTACATTATTGAGGAGGGGTCTTCTATCCGGGGGATTATGGTACCTGTACATGTCCTGTCAATCACGCGAAACATGGGAAAACACAACACAACAATCAAGTTATGTGAGCGACGCCGCCCCGCAATGCGGTTTTCCCCTCATAAGCACCAGCGAAGTGTTAGAGTAGGTTGGTAGGGATGATGTGCACTATCGAGAGAATGGTACAAGGAGAAAACCCTAAGGGGTATACCCCACAGTATCTACCCCACTACAGCCTACCCACAAATATAATTTATATACATATGTTTGACACACCCCCATAGGCAAAGTGGGGGAGAGCAAGAGGTCACAAGACCAGTCAAGAAAAGCAAAGCAAGCTCAGGGTGGATCACAACGTCAACACACACACTGAGCACAAGCAAAAGGCCACAAGGCCAGTTCACATGAAAAGGTATACCGTCATCGCCCGGATATAAGACATATATGTCTTATCTCATACACTAAAAAAAATGCTTGGGTTACCGTCATACCCCGGATATACCCCCATGGGGGGCAATAATAAAGCAGGTTTTTTTAGGGGGGTGGGCTTATAATCGAGTAAATTTATAAGCACCGGCGTTTATAAAATGACATATATGTTTTTATATATTTTTGAACACCATGCTGTAGATCTCGTGCTTGCCTTTTCAATCGAGACGAAGTTACCTGGGGTCGTCTGTGAAATTCTCGCGCGCGCAGGGAGGTACACCCAATCTGACTCACATCCAGCTCCTGACAGCTCATGACAGCTCTGTCAGAATATTATAGCTTACTTATTTGTGTAGGCTATAGTGGGGTATCCCATAGGGGGTACAACCCAATTAGGGTTTCCTATTTGTACTCACTTCGTTCATAGTCAATTCATTCTCGTTCAGTTTTTCACAAGCTCCTGCTGACTGGACCCGAATCCAGTGCAGGGTCCGAATGTGGAGGGAACCGAATCTGCAAAACATCTGCCTGCTAAAGTAGAAATCGTTAAAGCGTTTTGAACACATTTCAAAAAAATAAGTTTACCGTTAAAGCGTTTTGAACACATTTCAAAAAAATAAGTTTACGTGCGCTTATAATAAAACAAGTTTTTTCAGGGGGGTGCGCTTATAATCGAGCAGGGGATATAAGCGCCATATGCCATTTAGAAGCGCCAGGCGCTTATCCTAGGGTGGCGCTTATATCCGGGGGGTGACGGTATCTTGTATTTGGGGAGGTTTTGGGTGTCTTATAAGTCTTATAAATGGAAACTTTTTTAAACTACTTAGAAATATTTTCACACATCTTGAAAAGAGTTTCTCATTATGAGTGTGGATGTTGCGAAGGTGCCACTTCGGCAACCATTGTTCGGGGTGCCACGTCATGGAGAATGAGAAAGTGTGAACGAGAATGAATGACTATGAAGTGAAGTGAATACAAATAGGAAACCCTAAATGTGTTGTACCCCCTATGGGATACCCCACTATAGCCTACAGAAACAAGTAAGCTATATGTTCTGACACACCCCCATAGGCAAAGTGGGGGAGAACAAGGGGTCACAAGACCAGTCAAGCAAAGCAAAGCAAAGCTCAGGGTGGATCACAAAGTCACCACGCATTCCGAGCACAAGTTCAAAGGCCAGAAGGCCAGTTCACATGCAAGATCATATATAGAGATATACAAGAGTCAAGCAAGCAAGAGCAAGAGTATATATAGGCGAAGGTACAAGCAAGGTCAAGAGGAGAGCAAGTGAGGCAAGACAGGCACAAGACCCAACTGCGTGCAACAACGCTGATGATCACAAGGCGCAAGTGCCTTGGTGAAGACATCAGCAGTGTTGGCCTCAGAGGCCACGTACGCAAGTCGCAACTGTCCACGCTGCTGTAGCTCACGAGCAAGAAAGTAGCGGAGAGCAATGTGCTTCGTTCTGTGCTCCAGTCGCTGCTCTCGACACAAGGCCAGCATGGCCTTGTTGTCTACGTACAGGACTGGAGGAGAACGAGGCTGCTCTCCAAGGTCGGTCAGCAGGTAGGTGAGCCAGCGTAACTCCTGTGCAGCCATAGCCCCAGCGTAGATCTCAGCCTCACAACTGGAGCCGAGAACAGAAGACGAGCAGGTAGCCCGCCACGAGACAGAGCCGGAACCAAGGCTGAAGGTGTAACCCTGTGACGACCGCTGCGTAGCCTGGTCGTCAGCCCAAGAAGCGTCTGCGTGCCCAGTGAGGACCACTGGACTGCGCCCTCCAAGCACTAGCCCCATGCCCGACGTACTGCACAAGTAGCGCAACACCCTCTTCGCTGCAGCCATGTGCTCTGGTCGGTGTCTCCCAGGAGCAACAAAGCGTGCGAGAATGCTAAGAGGGTATGCGAGGTCAGGTCGTGTGCAGGTCATCAGGTACATGAGGCAGCCAACAAGCTCTGCAAACGGGCCACTCGACTCTACGGACTCATCCGAAGGCAGAGCTGAGAGCGAGTGGCGAGTAGGCAGAGGAGTGGCCTGAGGCGAGGAGTACGTGAAGCCGAAGCGCTGAAGGACCTGCTGCACCATGTGTGACTGAGTCAGGGTAATGGTGCGGCGTGCTCTGTCCTGGGTGATCTGCAAGCCAAGGTAGCTGCGCAGTTCACCCAGGTCAGTGCACGTGTGTCTCTTCTGCAGCTCGGACTTCACGTAGGCGAGTCCAGCAGTGTCAGCTGTGGCAAAGACCAAGTCCTCGACGTACACGAGGATGTAGAACGGCGGCAGAGAGGTGTCGGTGCGCAGAAACAGCGACGGGTCGGCAGTAGAAGGAGCAAACCCAAGTGCCGCGAGCGTAGTCCTCAGTGTGTCGTGCCACTCACGTGGCGCCTGGCGGAGACCGTAGACTGGACGCCGGAGACTCCACTGGGTACCAGGAGGGAAAGACCCAGTGAAGCCAGGTGGGCGACGCAGCCAGATCTCCTCGTGCAGGCTGCCCTGCAAGAAAGCTGTGCTGAAGTCGAGAGAGTGCAGCTCGTAGTCACGGTGAGCAGCAACGTGCAGCAGAACCCGAAGAGTGGTCATCTTCGGGGTGGGGGAGAAGGTCTGAAAGTAGTCAACCCCCTGCCGCTGACTGAAGCCACGAGCCACGTAACGCGCCTTGAAGACAGGCGGAGAACCCGGCGGCCGCTTCACCCTGAAAATCCACATGCCACTGACGATGTTCGCCCCAGGAGGGGGAACAGCGTCAACGTAGGTGCCTGTGGACTTCCAGGAAGCCATCTCTGCATCCATAGCTGCCTGCCACTGAGAGGAGTAGGGACCCTCTATCGCCTCCGCGTAAGAGCGCGGAGTCGGGATGTCTGGTGCATCCGGGTCTCCCTCAGGGGCTAGCAGTACAGACGCGACACGAGGTGAAGCGGCGGCCAGACACTGGAACTCCTCCTGCCTGTCCTCAAAGACGTCCGTGCCAAGGGCACACTCACCCCCGACGGACGGAGGACAGGCGGACTCAGACTCAGTGACAAGACGAGCAGCGTAGTCTAGACGACAGCGCGCAGCAA